CGCTGTGTGCGACCGCACGCGCGAGAGCACACGCTCGCCCTTATTCACATTGAAATAAAAGTGGCGCTAAGCCTTAACGCAAATTGAAAAAGCTAAGAAAAACGGAATGCACTCTCTATATCGTCCCCAGATAATAGAGCACGAAGCAAGGGCGGACGGAGGGCCGGTGTAGGTAACGCCACCAGAGGGAGGAGGGAGAAGGCGAGAGAGGAAATAAGGAGAAAGGGAGCAAGGGAGGGCCGGTGGGGCGGAGGGAGGGAGGAGAGAGGATCAAGGCAGGAATGGAGGACGGGCCGAGGCAGGAGGGATGGTGATGGTGCCTCTGGTGCATCTCTCTCTCTCTCTCTCTCTCTCTCTCTCTCTCTCTCTCTCTCTCTCTCTCTCTCTCTCTCTGTGTGTGTGTGTCTCTCTCTCTCGATGGAGGGAGGACAGCGGACGACCCGAGAGAGAGACAAAGAGAGAGAGAGAGAGAGAGAGAGAGAGAGAGAGAGAGAGAGAGAGAGCACGGATTCACTATTAGCACCGAGCACGAAAAGCATGTATCCACGATGGGCACGAAAAGCACGGATCAACGATGATCACCGAGCACCACACGGATCCCCAATGAGCACGAATCCACGATGAGCACGTATCCACGATGAGCACCGAGCACCAAAAGCCCGTATCTTAAAGTTTTAAGATCGCGAGCGAATCCGGGCCGTCGGGCCGTTTACGGCCCGGATCGCCGCGGTGCCTTGGGGAGCTCGGTCCGAAAGGACCGTTGGCCGGCGGGCGGGAAAACTACGGACCTACGCGACGCGACGCGACGCGGCCACGCTACGCGACCTACGCTAGGCGACCTACCTACTCGACGCGACCTACGCTACGCGACGCGACCTACCTACGCGACGCGACCTATCTACGCTATCTACGCAACTCGACCTACCTATGCTACGCGACCTACCTACTCGACGCGATCTACCTACGCGACGCGACCTATGCTACGCGACGCGACCTACCTACGCGACGCGACCTACCTGCGCGACGCGACGCATCTACCTATCTACGCGACGCGACCTACCTACGCTACGCGACCTACCTACTCTACGTGACGCGACCTACCTACGCTACGCGACCCACCTACTCGACGCGACCTGCGCTACGCGACGCGACCTACCTACGCAACGACTGATCTKGGATACGTGCTTTTCTCTCTCTCTCTCTCTCTCTCTCTCTCTCTCTCTCTCTCTCTCTGTGACTGTGCTCTTTGGTGCTCGGTGCTCATCTTGGATACGTGCTTTTCGTCATGTGCTGATCGTGGATCCGTGCTTTTCTTTGGTGCATGATCACGCGCTCATCGTCGATCCGTGCTTTTGGTGCTCGGTGCTAATCGTGGATACGTGCTTTTCGTGCTCATCGTGGATGCGTGCTTTTCGTGCTCATCGTGGATCCGTGCTTCTTTTTGGTGCATGGTCACGTGCTCATCATCGATCTGTGCTTTTCGTGTTCATCGTGGATCCGTGCTTTTCTTTGGTGCATGATACGTGCTTTCCGTGCTCATCCTGGATCCTGTGGTGCATGATACATGCTTTTCGTGCTCATCGTGGATCCGTGCTTTTCTTTGGTGCATGATCACGTGCTCATCGTCGATCCGTGCTTTCCATGCTCTCGCGGGGCGATCTGGGCCGTCGGGCAGGTGCAACCACGAACGGCCTGGATCGCCGCGCAATCTTAAAGATCTAAGATCGGGGCCCAATCCGGGCCGTCGGGCCGGTAGGTCCAAAGACGGCCCGGATTTCAGAATTCTAACATTAGCGATTTTTACAAGTGTAGGGAAATCTCATCTATCTTTTCTCCATCATAATTTTCAGGAATTTCCGATTCTTTCATTCATATCTT